AAAAAAAAAAAATGGTTCTGAGCAGGAAGTTAATGACTTGTTTCCAGCTAGTGAGATTTCATTTAAAATTTATTAATTGGGAGCAGTGAAAGAACCAAGAGCATATAGTCAAGTTTTTCCAAGGAGCAAAATAAAATTTTTTCCAACTTTTATACACAGAATTCTGAGAAGTCTTAACTCATGATAACAAAAACAAGGCTAGGTCCTATAATATTAAAATAATAAAAAACATAGAACACAAAAACACAAATTAAAATAAATTAAAAGGGATACATTTATATTGAAAAACATGGGTATCCTGAGTTTTCTCAGCAATAAAAACACAATCTTGAAAAGGCTGTCATAATGATTATCATAATGATTACATAATACACAAAAATCTTAACAGTGACACAAAACAGACATTTAACAAGTGGTAGCTATTACTGTAGAACGAAGGTGAAGAATGACTTTGCTAGTAAGTTTTCAAGTTGGACCAGTTACCCTCAGCCCCATGTCAACTTCATTTGCAGCGCTATGAACATGATAACTCTAGCCAATTAGGAAGCTTTTGAATAGATCATTGACTAAATCAAGAATACCAAAAGTGGTATTGGGAAGCCAAGGCAAGGGGATAAGGAAGATGACCTGACAGGACAGGCAAAAACATTGTGATGTTATTTTATTTTTTTTAATAATATAAGTTTATTTTTACATCACTTTGTACATTTTTCCATCTCAGTTGTAATCCCCGTGGGTTCTGATGTTATTTTTAAGCAGCGTTTGTGAGGAGGCCTTGTTCATGTGACCAAAACCAGTCACAGAAAATCAATGCAATTTAGAAGTCTTAAAAATTGAAAGAAATTGCTGTGACGTAAGTTCCAATGGAAAGTAAAATAAAACATTTCCATAAGGACTATAAAACTTTGCAAGATCCATTTTTCTCTAATTTGAAAACAATTCAAGATTTTTTGCCTTCTCCACTACCAACCACAAGTCAGTACACTTATTTTTATCTCATTTTACTTCTAGAAGGCTTTTGATTTCTTTTACTCTCTTTTACGAAGCATGTAATTTCTTTCTGCTCCCAGTAGGGTGTGCTTTTTATTTCACTTTTTTCCCCTTAAACTCCGGGACCTTTCACCATACTCATCTAAGAATTCAAAGTCAACAGAAAGAAAAAGATTGCTACTGGGGCATATTCTTGAGAAGACTGTTCTAGACTCGGGGGGGGGGGGGGGGGGTGCAGCAGTTTTATGGAAGAGAAATGCGCGTCAACATGCAGGCGGAGGGCCGAGGAGGAGAGCCTGTGCAGCCTGGTGGGTGGAGGTGTGACCACCGGCTCTCTCACCTCCAATGGAAATGCTGACTGCAACTAGCTGTCTCTTGGCAAAAGTTCTAAAAGTTGCCAGTTGCCTTATCAACAGATTTCTCTTTTTATCCCAAGCTTCAGAACTTGCTTTTCAGACACCCTAAATGTCTAATTTAAAAAAACCCATTCTTCAGAAAATAAGTAAGAGCTTGGATTTTATTGCCTTGTCCACTCTCCAATACTGTTCTTCCCTTCTTTAAAAACAACCCAAATACATCCCTCCCTAAACTACATATGGATTGTAGCAGTAAAATAAAGGAGCTCTTTGACTCTTCCTTTACACGGATTCATAAAAATAGCCCTAGAGGACAGAGACGTAAAACCAGACAAATCCAGGTCTCTAATCCCCTTCCATCTTACAAGCACAGTTAAGGCTCAAAAAGAAAAATTAATGCCCAAACAGCCATTTGAGGCACATAGAAACGGAAAATATTTCTCTCCTAGTCAAACTAGGCATCAGATAAGACACTGTCACAATCTGCAATGTGCCGTTCACCTGGCAGGGTACTAACCTTTGAAAACCACTCACTACCGTCGCCAACATTGGGCCAGGAGCGTGGACCACACTGATGGCTTCTTTGTCACGTAAGTAAAGGAGCTGTATTATTTTGGTTGCCTGGAAATTCGTGTCTTTCACTGAACTTCACAGATCTTGGATCCCTATTAAAGGCTGTGGATCTCCACATAAATGATCTCTCTGTTACAGAGAAACAGGGACTGCTGCACTTGCTAGAATGCCTTGAGCTTTGTATCAGATGTCCCAAGTTTGGTTTCAACCACGCTGCCAGTGTGCCCAAAGCCAAACTTGATGCTTTAGCAAGGCGGGGAGGGGAGGTCTACATCCCAGGGATACATCAGACCCCTCTGATAAAGGATTTCTTCAATTCCAAAAGCATGCTTCTGTTGAGCTGAGGTTGGTCCCCTTTGTTAGCACCAATCTCTCATTTAGTTCTCCACAGATTAAATTATAGCTTCTCTCAGAGAAGAGAACTTGGAAATTGAGAAGGAATTAAAGGAGATAGTAAAGTAGAAATTCCAAAGCCAAATGTCCACAAGGTCAGGCAAAGCAGCATCTGAGCCAAGAGAGTGAGGGGAATCAACAAGCAGCAACTCCGGGGCGCTCAGGCCTTCTTAGTCCTCGTCTGTGCTCATGGCCCCACCTGGCCCCCGATCATGGGCACCACCTCTTCGATCCACATCAAGTCCAGTGGAGCTGAGGCTCGAGCTTGCCGGCGGTGAATTCGGCGGAGCCGCAAGAGGTACAAGACAATGGCCAGTAGCACCACCAGGATGCAGACGAAGAAGAGATAGTGGTTGTGGACAAAGGAGAGACGGGGCCAGCTACCATGGGCCTGTCGGACTCCCTCCTGACGTAGATCCCTAGGAGGGTTGGAGGTGGAAAGTGGATTAATTTCAGAGAGAAACAGCTAAGCTGATTTCAAGGGACTAGTGGTGATATCCCATTTATTCCATCCATGCAAAGCTGCTATCACCCCAACTTCCCCGAGCACGCAGAGCAGATGAACATCCCCAAGTCAGGGCTGCCAGTGTGCATCCTCCTAGTCCTTCCTTCCTATAGAGAGACCTCATAGGCCTGAATCCTCAAGAACTGGGACAGAATCGAGAGCAGTAAAAATAATGATGATAATAATAATAAGACAAGGTGAGTCATGAATAATGTAAATTCTCTCACCCACACCACTCAGGTTTGGGTGGAGAGCCCTCCAGTTCCCCGTTTCTCTCACTTCTACCACCTGCCTGCTTCTAACGGTCCTGAGTTTAGAGAAACAGGCACCAAAGACTACGACTCCCTCACAGGCTATCTGACATAATCCGAGAGAAGAGCACCCATAATCCGAGAAAAGAGCACCTACAAATTACCCCAGCTGCTTCCCAGCGCCACATAAGAGTAAACTGCAGTAAAACCGCAAAGCTGAGAAACAGACTGCAGGCCCGTAATTCTCCCCCTTTTTTCAGGTCTCAACACATCTGATTAGTAGTAACAGTTCACCTGGTGGTAGAAAGGGGCGTTGGCTTGGGGGTGGGGTCACTTGGAAACCTATTCTGTGCCCCGGCTAACGTCTCCTGAGCTGAGCTGAGGGTGGCACGTTTTACCTGAGTGGCAAGAACCGTGTTTTATACAGAATGGCTCCCAGTGTCCACTGGACCTCCCGGTCATACACCAGCTGGGCCGTCTGCAGGTTTGGGTAGTCGTAGGGAAAGTGGAAGCCTTCATGAAGGACTTGGTACATCCAAGCCGATTTAAAACACTGATACCTGTGTGACCAAGAAATGGTTGACATTACTTTACAAGAAGAAAAACTTGCTTTCCTCAGAGTAATGCTTTCCTTGCGTTTCCTTTACAATGTCCCCAGCAGGTGCCCCAAAGACCTCTCTCTCCCCACCTGTCCTTACTCACCTTCTAGATGGAGCCAAGCTGAGCCTACTTTATCTCAACGTTTACATGAATATGAAAAACTGGTTTCAACAATAATGACACCGTGGCAAAGTTTTTCCTTTCCTCTTCCTGTTTCTTCCCCCAAACACCCTCCTTCCTGTTAAAAGAGTCCTTATCTTCAGCGACCATGCTGACATATCTACAAATGTGATTTCATGATGTCTGGGATTTGCTTCAAAATAACCCGGTTTTGGAGTCCAATCCAATGCCAGCGGCGCAGTGGCGCAACGGCCTCTCCGTACACCCACAGCTAGACTGCAGAGGCCAGGCAACCTCGAAGACTCGCACAAGACAAGTGCGCCTGGCAGGAGCGGCGGGCCGGGGAAAGGCACAGGAAAACTGCCATGGAATGTCTTGCCGCAATGGGCCGGGGAGCCGGGTCACCTCCCCTGTGTCTCCTCACCACCGGGCTCTAGCTGCAGGCTGCGGCTGTGATACTCAAAACACCTGCCTTACCCCACCCGGGCCCATCCCGGACCAGCACTGCGCGTGCTCACGCTGGAGATGGAGCACTTGGATCTTAGGAAAGGTCCAAGCACCTCAGGGGAAGGCTCCAGAGGGAAAAAGCAATTCGCAGCTTGGGACCGTCTCAGCTCTGCTCCCCACCCAGCGCCGCACCTAGTCAGTGCCCAGCCACAGCCTAGAGGGGATGGCAGCCGGAGAGCAGACGCCACCTGCGGGCCAAGGACTTGTCGGGGAGGGGTCCCTGAGGATCCCCAGTGCCCAGCACCGGTGCCCGCTGCACAGTGGGAAGCGTGACCGTGATGCTCACTGTGGCCTCTGGGTGTCCTGCTGCCCCGTCTCCCGCCTACCTGCCTGCCCTGGCCAGCACCAGCACTCCTGCCCTCTCTCCTAGCTACCACTGGTTTCCCTTGGCTTTGCTAAGACAGGCTCGCGATTTGGACCCACAGCCCTCAAAAAAAAAAAAAAAAAAAATCAAAACCTGAAATAATCCAATTATCCTTTAGTATAACATCCAGTCTGTATTGCTGCTCCCCTCGTGCCACTGTAACCTGTCGTCCACATTTGGTTTATTATTTTCTTACATCGTTGCTAACTGCTGCCCACATTTTAAGGCCATGTCTAAGTAGGAAAAGGAAGTTACTTACTTGAGCCGATGCTCATCCGCATGCGATGAGAAGAGGCCGTTCTTGAATCTCTGCGTTAGCACTGACCAAGCCATGCTGCAGTAATCCTGGAAGAGCCACAGAGAAGGAACTTGAAACTGCAGGCCAAGCTGGTAACTCCCCCACAGGCCCAGCTGTTCCACTTCTAAGTTAATTATGGGCTACTAGTTGACAAGAGGAAAACGGAAATGGCGTTTTTGTCCACTGTGCCAAGTCCTATAAAATACAAAGTCCCAGAGCTCAGGCCTTGGGGTGACTCTATTCCCGTCACCTCCGGGTGTAGTATAACGCTGACCTGACTTCAGAGAAGAGTCGGGTGGGGCCAGAATTGGCCACATCAAAAGCCAAAGAGAGCTACATTGCACTCTACATAGGCAGACCGAGCAGATGGAGCAGGATGGTCAAAGGTCGACCACTGGCTTCCCACATTGTGTTTCTCACCAAAGGAATCATCACTTTCGGTTTGTTCAATAAGCTAACACTTCCTGAAAGTCTGCCACGTGCCAGCTGCTACTCTGCCAGGGGATCAAGCAGTGAATCAAACAGACAAAGCGCTCGAACAAAATCACCTGTTTTACCCAGGGAAGACAACACATTAAACGAATAGGGACTTGGGAAAACAATAACTTAAAATGAAAGAAAGAGGTCAGAGGTAGGGAGCACTGGATGCTGGAAAGGGGAGGTGGGGGTGTTCCTGGACAGCAAATACGAACCAGGCGCTCCCAATATTCCTAAGGCCCTGCTGTTGGGGAAACAGAACACGACACATAGTGCTAATATTATTCTGTTGGAAGTCTTCCACCAAGAGAACCCTAGAGAATTTTAAGAAAGCAGAAAGTAAAATAAAAAATGTATGTGAGGACAGACTTCCCATAATTGCCTCTGATCAAAGACATTATGTATGTGTAACAACCACAGAGCTGAATCTAACTCAACACGTGAACTCAGAAAGCTAGCTGAGATTTTCCTGTCCAGGTAACTAATGACTTAGGTTTACACAATGCTTAAGGCTTATGTATATTCTCTAAGTGAATTCTTCCTTTCTCTGCATTTCAAACATAAACAGTGCTGCCACTATCACTGCTTTTTACAACATTTTCCTAATACTCCAAATATCCCACTCTGGCCTTTTAATAGCACAAACGAAAAAGGTGAAAGCGACTCACGCACCTGTATGACATTGTCTAGAAAAGTCCCCACAAGTGGAAAAGCCCAGCGGGGAGATGACACTTTTTGGCTACAAACATTAAATGAGGCTATTGGAAAGTTAGAGGAAATATCACCAGCCACCACAGCAATTCGACCTGCGTGATGATGTAGATGATAGGAAACCTGAGTTATATTAATTAGAAGAATATAGCATGGAAGGTTCCTTGACTTCTTAAAGTTCAGCATTTATAAAACGGGACTGCAGGGCTCCCGAGGAGGACCCAGTGAGCTCACGCACGGAAAGGCCCTTGTACGGTGTTGGGCACAGCTGACTCAGCTTTATCATGGGCTCACCTGAGCGGCCTTGGCAAACGTTGGCCCGTGGTAGCGGCCACCGATGCGCAGCACGTCCTCCGTGCAGTAAAAAAACTCCGAGAAACCGTAGAACTCGCTGTTGTTGAAGTCGATGGGCGACTGGTAGATGCCATTCATGGAGGCCTGGCTGGTGTTGGGGCGAGCCAGCAGGGGGCTCAGCATCGCCCCACAGGTGGCCCAGTCCCCCTTCCCTCGGATGTGCAGGATCTGGTCGTTCCTCTGCACCACGTCGGTGAGCCCCACGGGCAGGCAGGGATCCAGGAATGGGTTGTCAGGACTCAGACCGGTCTTGTGGCCCAGCAGCCTGTCGCAGTGACCGAACACAAGACAACACATGACTACTGCACCCGCCTGCTCCAAGAAGCAGCTAATTTAGAAAGCTGGTCTAAGAGTGTGCCGCACAGATACCTGCGTCCCACATGACACACCTAGAGGCAAGAGCGGAGCACTACATGCAGGGATTTTACGGAGGCAAACTCAAGAGAGCCTAAAGAAGGCAAGAAAAGAGAGAAATGTGATGGCGATCAACTACTAAACCTTACAGTCTGTGTGGCTTCCCTGGAGTGTGGTGAGACTGGTACATGGGTCTGCGGTCTCCAGTCTTTATTCCCACCTGCCTCTTATGTGTGCAAAGATCTCACCATGCTGACTGCAGGTCTCATGTTGTAAACCCAGCTGGAGAAAGTGGAGCTGTAGGGCGGGGGAGTCTCTCAGGGAGGACCCAGGGTTGGGGGGGGGGGTTGCAGTGGCAGTGGCCGGCACAGGGACAGAGCACAAGCCATGCTGGGGCGGAGCTGGGCAGGCAGTAGGTTTTGACTCTCATGGTGGGAGCCAAAACAGTTCCGTTTCTTTAAGTCTATGCTTGCCCTCACTCTTAGTAGTTGAGATTAACAAAACAAAACTTAGGAGACAAAATTTTCTATCATGTGCTCCCATAAGTCAATTTACTGCTGTACAGAAGCTATTACAAATAGGATGGATCGTACCTCTTCAAATCAGTATTTCTGGAAAAAAACAAAAGGGAGGAGAGGGGGGTAACAATTTTATGCAGACCTCTGCAGTCTATCATACTTCCCTTCAGTGTGCCCAGTAACACAACTGTACTAAAAAACAAAGCCCAGGGCTGCAATGGCCTAAGGACTTCGTGCGGTACCCAAGTAATGAGCAATCACTGCAGGCTGGAGAGACACTGGGCTAATTCAAAGCACAATTCTGACTGCACGCCTCCCACCTAGCCCCTCAAAACGCACATGTTCACTGTAAGCCAGCAGATGCGTCACGACACCTCCACGCAGAGCAGCTGCTGAGCAAAGGTCTACTGAGCATTTCGACCCACGCTGAGTTCACCTGACTCGGTCACGTCATGTCTGAAGTGGCACATGGCAAGCGGTCATCACCATAAGCTGCTGTACTTCTGTTGTGAGTTCTTACAACAAACGTGCTCTCACCCAGATCAGGTGAAGCCAACAGGTCCTCTAAGTGACGCTACTCCCGAGCAGGGGTGTTCAGGAAGGAAGAGGTAGAACGTACGATGGGACTGTATTTATTCTCTCTACCCTGATGACATTCTATTTCAACACACAGGCGTCATAACCAATGTACCTGTTCTTGCTAAGAGTTTCGTTGAGCACAAGGTTCTCGTAGCGCTGCCGGGCATAGTTGCCTCCGAAGCCCAGGAAGGTGGTGACATAAACCCTGTACACATGTTCAGTGTGCTGTGCATCACAGCCCAGGTTGAACTCAGCCAGCAAGATCTTCGCAGCTTCTTCCTATAAACAGGTACAAAGGAGAAAGTAAAAGTTAGCTGATTTCTGGACGCTCTGGCAGTCTAACATGCCAGGCTTCTTTCGCTCTGGCTCCTCCTGGAAACAGCTTGGTGAATGCCATTATCATCATAGTGCTAGCAAGCAAAGCCAAACAAAGACATCAAGTGATAAGACTATACAAAAAAAGCATGAACCAGAGACAAAATACCAAACCAAGAGACTAAAACAGTCTGTAAATTTTGGAGAAGGTAAATCATTCCAGATGTCATTTTCTGATTTGCCAGTTCTCTAACATGGGAATGCTCTTTTATATAACCAGGAAAAACACACTTTGATTAAAAACTTTAAGGAAGATAATCATGAAATCTATTCTGTGGCTTTTTCTAAAGCTGTTCAACATCTCTGCCCTTCTGTGGGATGTGGGAGTTGGTGAAGCTCGACACTTCTGCGCCTCCAGTCAGAGGAGCTTTGTCTGGGCCCCGGTGCTGAGGTGAGATCAATCAGAGCCCTCAGTTCCTAGCCCCGTACCACAGTCAAGCCTCCATTTTGTTTTATTTCCTTCACCCTCATCTTCCAAAAGCCATCACTGCTCCTGCCATAGGTAACCCTTCTAATGTGCTTACTGCATAATACTTGTTAGTCTGTATTGCAGCAAAATGGGATTTTTATTTAGAATGTATTTAGTTTACGAAGATGCTATCTTGCCTGGCAATTCCACTCTTATGGATATACGCGTGCGAACAGAAAACTTAGGTCTAATGAATGTTCACAGCAGCATTACCCTTAATGGGCAAAAACTGGAAATATACTAACTGGAAATACCCTAAATATCCACCGCCTGACAAACAGATAAAAAAGATGAATGTGACTCGGTCATAAAAGGAATTAAGTGCTGACACGTTATAACGCTTACAGTAGGTTGCGGCTGTCACGGTTTCCTGGAAATGGGCTGTGTGTGCCGATGGTGACAAGCATGTGGGGCAGTTTCACAAGGCTCATCCCTGCACGCAGTAGGCATGCACAGTGTCGGGCATTCTTTTTAGTCTCTATGATTAAATTTTGCATTCTTTACATCCTAATCTAGAAAGGACTATTAGAAGCACAAGAATGGAGTCATGAGGAAGGAAGAGAGAGTAACGATGTTTATTAACAGTGTTCAGGAACAAGGATGTACCAGATGTGTTGTCAAACATCATGCTCTGCCATTATGTGCATTATCATGCTCAGTCCTCAGGCAACCAGAGACAGGCCGTACAGCTACAGTTGCTAAAACATATTAAACGTTTACAACCCGTAGGTTCATTTATTAAGTGCTTTATACATGCAATGTTATTTCATACTCACAACTCTGTGAAGTAAATACTGCTATTATTCACTTTTTATATATGAAGAAACTAAGACTCTAAGAAGCGACCTCCTCAATGAACACAAGCTAACAAGTATCGGAACCACCATGTGGACCCAGGTAACTTGTTCTACGCCCAAAGACTGCATCCTTCCGTCACAGATGGCGGCATTCCTAGCACCTGAAGTTCCCTAAAAAGTAGAATACCTGCTTCGGAGGAAGGACAGTGGTTGAGGTAGGAACTTCGTAAGCAATTTGGAGAGAGGCTCCTCCCATATCCAGGATCCCCACTGTCCTTCTGCGTCCTGATGCCAATTCTGGGGGAGCTTCAGCATCTGGTTCTGATGTAAATAAGGAAATAGAAAGGATGCAGTAATTAAAAACAAAGTTTTAAGTCAAAAAAGAAAAATAGCAATCCCTTAAACAGAAAGAAATTAACTGTATCGACTGTGTGTTACATTGTCAGTGACTTAAACCTGGACTTTTGACTACATATATATATTTTTTGACTATATATATATATATATATATATATATATATATATCTCCCTTATAGAATATGTCTTAGTAGCAAAAGAAATGCCTTAAATTGAAGTCTAGTAGCTTTATTGGTAATAATAGTGGTATTATTTTTTTAAAACCATTAAACATATACATGGAATAAAGCAAATAAATGTTTTAATATTTAATAATACTTAATATTTTAATATATAAATATATAATATTTAATATTTTAATGTTTTACAATATTCAGCAAAGAGAAAAAATTATATATAGGTATAAAACCAAAGAAATTAAGCAATAATGCTATAATCTTAAATATGACTTGGAAATATACTATGAACACATGCTTTTTTTTCACTTAACTATATATACTTCCTAGCTTTGTCCACTGAAAAGGTCTAGAAGCAGTGATGATGCAACAGCAATCAACACCCCTGATAGCTAGAGTCTCAAAATATCATTTTCTACTAAAAGAAAGCTGGGCTTCTTGAAAAATTGGCTAATACCAGGTCCAGGACAGAAAAGATACAAGAGTTGAGCATGGAATGCTTTGGTGTGTCAAACAGCAAGGGAAATGTAAGACAGTAAATGGAATAACAACTGTTAAAAGGACATGAGAGGCAATATGTAGGTATAATGTAAGTCCCCAAACAATGAGGTGATGTTCAACCATGTTAAAGACCCAAAAAGATATAGTCAACCAAATCCTTAATGTGAAAAAATCATGTGATCAAGTAATGAGGTTTCTTTTTTGCCTTTTTAATGAATAATTTGAAGAAAAAGAGATGGGGTAAAATTAACTATTGAATATTGTAGATTTAAAGAGACATAGCAAACAAAATTTGCTCCATGATGAAATTTTAGAGTCTAATTTGAATAAAACAGCTGCACATAAATATTCTTGAGATATTCACGGAAGTATCTATTGGACAGATGGTTAATACATGATATTATAAACTGTTAGTTCTGTTAAGTTTAAAAATAGCATAGTGGAAACCTATTTTGTTTTGTTTTATTTTGGAACTCAAAATTTGTTAGCGACAATACCAAAACACATGAAGATAAAAGGGTATGTCTGGGGGTTACTTGTGAAAATTCAATAAGAATAAAATCTGTGTAGATTGTGGCTAATAGGGTTCGCATGGGTTCATTTATCATTTCTCGACTTCTGTAAATGTTTGGAAACTTCCAAGTTAAAAAGGTAAAAAGAAAATTAGGACTAGAAAGTGAAACAGTGTAGATCTTTAAAAAGTCAGTAAAACCACTCAAAATTAGCAGTTACATGCAACAAAACCTTTCGTCCTTAGTTAAAGAATTGTCCTTTGAAAGCAATACTACTCACCATCCTCATGGTCAAATCTTCCCAAAACAAAGTTGATTCCAATCCATGCATAAACCCCTAAGCAGAGAAACACAAAAACCCTCGCTTAATTCTCTTCTGCTCTACCATACAGGCACCGCTGCCCACACCTGCTCTTCCCTGCCTTTGCTTGGGGGAAAAAAAGTTACTATAACATTTTACTCCACACTCTCAGTGTATAAATCTAAATTCATGAACCATTTTATGAATCATTTATCTTGTGATGTTTTGCCCTTGGAAAACTTATTTTCATTTTCTAAATTCCTTATGATAAATAGGAATTATAGATAGAAGCAAGTGTCACAGCGCCCTGGTACTGGGCAGGATGGGCGAAGCCGGTTCACGGAGCCTCCCCACAGATGCTGGACAGACACTCAGGAACCCATACGGCCCTTCCTGGGCTCTGCAGGTGGATGAAGCCACACACTGGCACCAAGCTAAAGAACCACCAAGCCAGTGGTGAGTTTCCCATTTCCCCCCCTTCAAATCTTGCCTGGCTTGAAGCACAGGTGGCTTAAACCACAAACCAGGTATAGACAGACAGAACTTTAAGACCATGCTCTCTGTTCCAAGCAGCAGAACACAAAGGTTCAGAGAGTGGGGGAAACCCCTTGCTTTCCCCTCTCCCCCGCCTTTATTTTATTCTCTCTACTGAGCAACCCTGAAGCAGTGGAGGTAGAGTTTGGGAGGTACCTAAAACTCTCAGATGTAAATCCTCTCTGAGCAGAGGAGCTAAATTCTCAAGAGTGGGGCAAGTGCCTAATGCTTTTTTCCTCCCTGTGCCCTCCACCGCTTGGTCCTGATCCCAACACCATCATGGCAATGCACAGCAGAGTGTGCCAATTACAGCTCTGCTTTCTGACCAGAGGACATTTAAAGAGGACTTGGCAGGCCTGAAAATCTTGGGGAAACTGGGCAGGGGAGATAATAAAGTGATATATGAACTCCTGGGGTCACCGCTAAGCTACCCATGCATGGATCCAACCCTGAACGATGTGCCCAAGGTTTTGAGAACTAAACTATGAGATGGATGCCCCATTTGTATGGCTGGAACCTGCAAACAGTCCCAACTGGCAACATGGGACAAATCCAAAGAGTAGCTTGAACAATGAACCAAGAGAATCATGGGCCATTGAAGACAGGTCAGATTCGAGGCCTGAATCTAACAGGCCAACTGTCAGCCAGAGCAAACAAACACACCAATCAATATTCTCCTTATGGTATAAGACCCAGTGTCTCCTGACAGATTATTCAAAATGTCCAGGCTACAATATACTTCCTGGAAACTCTCAGCCCAGAACTCTCTCCCTAGAACTAAAGTGCCCCCTTATTTTAATAATTTGATTTACATTTGAATCTGGCAAGCTCAATATAACTCCCAGATCTATATTTGCAAAACAATGACTAAAGATCCATTATAATTTGCCACTGAATATTAACACATTCTTATAAGCAGAGTTCTTAGGACAAAATAAAAGCAGATATAAATGTATGGTTTCTAGAAGCATCATTCAAAATAGGCCCTATGCTGGATATACAATAACCAAACTGTATAGCAGGATCAGAAAAATAAAAATCAGATAATAAAACACTCCTCAATACTTGTTAGAGCGCCCCCTCAGAGCCTGGTACCTTCCTGCTTCCCAGAGATCACTTCTGCCTGAGACTGAGAAAAGAGGAAGTCAAACTCCAGGGGTAAATCTTTCACTAAATCAGTCAAGATAGCCAGCTGCTTCCTGCAAGAAAGAAGAAAAAATTCCAAAAGTTAGTCATTAAACTCTCTTCTCACAGTAGCTTTAATGTGACCTACCTAGCCTGTTATAACCTTCTCTTCACCTACTTACCATCTTGTCCACCTATTTCTCTTTGGTAACCTCTCTTTGATGCCAAAGGTTTAAACTGCTCCAAGCACAGCCTCCCACTTGAAAGCCAATGCGACAGTAATGCTCTCCCTCTACCTGATGTTATCATACAGTGTGTGAAAAGATGCAGCTGGGGTTCTACGTCTCTCATGGGTTGAGGAAGGAGAAGTCATAGGAAACTGAAGTATAGTTTCATAATCTATAAAATACATTATTCCTCACCACTATGAAAGGAAGCTGTTAAAATGAGGAACACAATCTCATTCTCACTCTTACACAATATAGAAACAATGCCTCATGTCATCACACAAGAAGCACTGTTAAGTCCATACATTTTTATATAATCCTTTATGTAAACTAACAATGAACTTTTTAATCTCCCTTTTCATATTTCAAGGGTTGTTTTTTATTCTTTGTATAAAAGGATTATTACTTGAAAAACCCAGATCAAGATCAAATCCAGATTATAACAACGTGTGGATAACATTTGGAGCTTAGAATCTATAAAGGTATTCTTTCCTCTGAAATCTTATGTTATCAATCTTATCAGAAAAATAAAAACAAAGAAACAAAGTTAGAAGTAATCATGCAAATTCAGAGAAAATTGTGGCTAAAAATCAATTACTTTGGGGCCCTCCCTGGTGGCGCAGCGGGTTAAAGCATTGCACTAAGAAGCTAAAGCCATTTCCGCATGAGTTTGATTCCTGCCAGCCCCGGAGGTGACCACGTGGTGTGGCAGACCTCTCCTGACCCGCCCGCTGCTCCCCTCAGCAGTGTACTTCATCGATCTGCCTGTTCTGCTCCCCACTCTGTCTCTAGTGAAGCCTCTCACCGCCCCTGAGCCTCTGGCCTGTACCCCAGTTCTGTGTGTACAAATAAATCAATCTTAAAAAAAAAATCAATTACTTTGAATTTTTCAAATTATTCCCCATAAAACTAATCTACTAGTTCAGACAGTTGTCAGCATGACTTAGTGAAGGTTTTTCGTACTTGAACGGAATAATCTTCCAATATAAGTTTGTAAAAAAAAATTCATTGTTTTCCACATCAAATTCATGCAATAAGAATTTTACATGGGGAACACCCTATTGGAACACTTCTAAACTACAAAAACAAAAAAAGAGGGCTTCTGGTTTTAGTGACAACATTAAGGACAGACGGCAACATGTACTGCTATTTGGAACGTAAGTTCCAGGTACAATCTTCCAAAGGGCAATCAGGGTAATACATCAAAAGTCTTTAATGTACATAACCTTTGGCCAACCTATTACATGTATAGAAATTTGCTGCAAGGAAGTCATCAGATAAAAATACAAAGAAGAAGAATAATGTAGCATCATCTATTACAATGAAAACCCACAAATAACCTTGCATGTACTAGTGGGAATTGGCTAAACAATTTTTGGTGCTTCCACACAATGAATGGTAATACTGCACCGATGATAAAAAAGATGAGGTCAATTTATAGCTCACATACTGACATGAAGAGATTTGTAATATATTTTGAGTTCTAATAAATTACACAACATTACACATAATATGATCCCAATTCATGTTAAAACAAAACACTTCACATACTGTACAGAAGATAGTAATCTCCTTTTCTAAAAGTCAATCTGGTTGTTCTGTTAAAAAAACTTTTAAGAGCAAAACATTACTATTATAAAAAGCTGGGTAGCTGATTCATTATACCATTCTCTCTACTTTTATATACTTTTGAAATTTCCCATATGAAAATCTTTTTTTAAGAAAAAGATTTATTTATTTATACATACAAGAACTGAGGTACAGGTCAGAGGTGCTGGAGTGGGTTGGTGAGAGGATTCACAAGAGACTGGGGAGCAGGACAGGCATACTGAGTGAAACACACTGCTGAGGGGAGCAGCGGGCAGGTCAGGAGAGATCTGCTGTGTCATGTGGGTCACCTCCCTGGTTGGGGATCAAATTTGTACTACAGTAGCTTCATAGAGCTTCATAGTGCTTTAACCCATTGCGCCACCAGGGAGGGCCCTGAACATCTTTTTTCCTTAAAAAGCTCCTTGTATGTATTACCTTTATAAATTTTTAGTATTTTTTCCCATTACAAAATAGAAAGGAGGTGGAACAAGTTCTGTGAGTGTAGGCCTTTGGCAATGAAAGACAACCTAATAAATTCAAAATACAATGATTCGAAACCATTTTGAATATTGCTCCCAACTGCTAATAAATTAGCCAAGCACTAATTATACAAAACAGGTTCTTGCAAAGAAAACCGGACCTAGGCCAACAACTACAGTTGGCCTAGAGGCAGCAGTGACTTCATTCGTGCAGGCCAGAGCGAGGCGTGGCTCAGAGAGTGTTCAGAGCACAAGGAAAGGGCAAGTTCTTTGAAAGTTCTTAAGATAAAATAACTAGGAATAACCAGAGCTTCCTCGCTGATAGCAATCGCCTTAAACAAATGGGGTAGCATTAACGAGGTGGATTTTGGTGGGTAGGAACTAGTCGGACAGAGGCAACGTGGAGCAGTGCCAGATGAGGCAATGCCCGCCTCGGCTCCAGACGCAGCAGCGGGGCCGACCGCTGCCCGGCTGGTCACCTCTGTCTTTCCGACCTGGATCAGCCTTTCCTCTGGTTCTCGCTGCTCCCTGGGTTGTGAGACCTGAGGCTACTCACAGCCTGAGGTGTGGCACCAGCAATGCCATCTGCACTCTCCCAGGCTTTCCAAAATTCTGGCCCATGACAACAGTCTGACTCATGGGTTGTAGGACTGCAAGGTTTCTGTTTACAGTTGAGGTTTCCTTTAATGATGTAAGGTTGCAGTTGCAACATTTAAGGTTTGGTTTTCTTAAAAAGTAAGTAAAAACACAACAAAAATATTATATATGAGACAAAATATACAGGCATATAGAGGCATGAAGGCAAAATTAAAAATCCAAAGATATACACACAGAGAAAAGGAGCAGGGCCAATGGCTGCATAAAAACACCAGCTTTTCTGTTTCTTTTTTTTTTTTTTCGAAGATTTAGTTATTTATGCATACAAAACTATACAGGCCAGAGGTGCAGGGGTGGTGAGAGGATTCACCAGGGACAGAGTGGGGAGCAGCAGGCGACACAAGAGATGTCTGTTGGGCCATGGGGGTCACCTACGGGGCTGGGGATGGAACATGAACTGATGCTAGACAGCACACCAGTAACCGTGTGCATAAAACAAAGGAAAGAGAGAAGAGGGCTCAGGTGGCAAGATGCCAGGCTGACTGCCAGGGTCTGTGGAAAGGACTGATTGGCTAGGCTGGCAATCTGGTCTATGGCAATGAAGACTTCTTTGCAAGTAACACCATAATCACCAAGAATCCAGACAAACAAAGAGAGCACTTTCCACTAGCCCCCAGTACCCGGGGCCTCAGGTGACCTTCCTACAACCTTTCTGTAGTTATGCGCCCCCTCTAGGTACCTCATGATCCAAATTCATCAACATTACCACTGCTCCTGACCCTCAGTCAACACTTAGCATCATTACAAACATTGCAGATAGAGACTGTTTCTTTGTTCCCAAAGAAACAAATGACATGAAGGCACGAATGACTGATCATGCATGGGGAGGGGCAGCTTTGCTATTTCTGAGCAAGGAGTCTGCTCGTGCCACCTGTCCGTGCTGTGTGGGGTGCCCATTTCCCTCCTTCAGACCAGGGCTTGGAATCAGCCTTTCAACTGTGAGCCACCCATTCTCCTGAGTTTCTTAAGACCCTTCATCTTACCTCTCGGGGAGAAGCCTCATGCCCGCGGTGCAAAGTATGTAAAGTGGGGTCTCCTTGTGCTTCTTCACGGGCACATAAGCAGCAGCAAAGCTCAGCAGAGGACGGAGGTAATCGCTGGCATGTTCTGGAGTGTCTGCCATTGCCGAGATTCCTTAAGTAAAAGAAAACACTTCCTTTAAAGGTCTGCTCACATAGACTCAGAAGACTAGTACTCTACAGCATTTGGCTTATGGTCCTAGACACCATTTGAGAGGAGAGGGTGGCAATGAGTGAGATACTGTCCAGAATCTCAAGAAGAAAATGTTAGCTTTCTCCCTTTTCCTCCCGTCCCCACCTCGCCCTGCCCCCTCCCATCTCTCCCTCCTCCTCCCGTCCTCTCCCATAACTATAGGAATAAAAGCAATCCATAATGAAATGTACTGGCCAGTACCTGGTTTGATTTTTTTAACCACTGGTTGGCTGTTGCGGTCTCTCATCTGCTTGATGTCCAGCAAGTCATGGGGGTTGCCATTATGTCTTGGCCAGAAATAAACAAAAATCCGGGAGCCACTGCTGCCACAATCTACAACAAGTCCGTAACTGAGATTTGGGTCTTCGGTGTCAGTAGCTTCAAGATCCCCTACTCGAGCCAAATACCTAAGCAGGCAAAAACCAAGCATTGGTGTTAAGAAGTCAGGTCCAAAAACAGGCACCCCCTTTTATTCATTTATTCGTGAGTCCTGTGCCAGTAACATGGGTTATGTGTCCTGATCAAGGAATGAGACACTTTAGACCACGCCCTACTGTATAGGAGGCAACAGCTATTTGCTTGCCAACAAGCCACTGAAATTAGATAGCTCAAATACTCCTCCATGTTCGGGGCAGTTCTGAAAATGGCTGGGATAGAGAATTTTTTATTAAGCATTAAAGCACTTCCAGACCTTGGGAAATAACTGGGTTTTGGAGTTACAAGCTACTAAATTTTTTTTTAAAGATTTATTTATTCATATGGAACTGGGGCACAGGCCAGAGATGTGGAGAGTGAGAGGATTCACCAGAGACAGAGAACAGGCAGAGCAATGAAGTACACTGCTGAGGGGAGCAACGGGCGGGTCAGGAGAGGTCTGCCACGGTCAGGAGAGGTCTGCCACGCCATGTGGATCTACTCAGGGGCAACCGGGACTCGAATTCATGCGGAAGTGGCTTTAGCTTCTTAGTGCTGTGCTTTAACCCACTGAGCCACCAGGGAGGGCCCACAAGCTACTAAATTTTAGGGCAGTTTGTCAAACATACTAGGTAACTAAAAGGACCCTAACGATTTCTACCTATTTGGCCTTTCTGCACATAAGCACAAAGAATATTGTGCAATGATTATGACTTAATGTATGTCTCTGGGCTGTGATATGTTTTGCTTTGCTCTTTAAGCCAGAATTGCCTTAAGAAAAAAAAATATTTCATAAAAAATTTATTATGCTTCATATAATCATTTAAAATATTTTATAGCTATAAACAATGTTCATCAAATATGTCAGGGTACAAAGAATAACAATTTAACAATGCCTGTGTACCTAACATCCAGTTTAAAAAGCAAACATTGTACTGTTTAAAAAAAAAAAGGCTAAAAATCCCAAAAGATTACCACTTTGTATTGGAATTTTTTCAGATTCTTATTTCAAGATATCTGACTGACCACTGGAACAAGATGTTGCCATCAAAATAGAATCTCAGCCCTAGCACTTTCTATGCTGTGTGACCCTCAGCAAATGATGTGATTTTGCTCAGGCTGTTTCCCCATCTGTAAACAGAATAGTCAGAGTCCACCTCAGAGAGACAGAGCAAGTCAGCAGTTGGTGAGCACATCATTGCTGGGGAAGCAAGTAACAGCCCACTCTCCGGAGAAAAGGGTTGGAGAGATCAGAGAGGAAAGAAGGCTCAGAGGAAGTAGGTGCTCCCGGGCCCTGAGGCTCCAACTAATATTAAAGCTGTCAGAGAGCAAGGGCTGAAAAACACGAACAAAGGCTTTGGCTGAACGGCTTTTAGCTCAACAGACAGAAAAGGAGAGCACTTTCTTGGAGCCAAGAGGGCATAATGCTTGGTAAACAGATGAAGGTCTCTTTTCTACATGCTTTTAAATTTAAGCAAATACCAAAAAAGCAAATATAGGCTGAGCTAATAACTGAATAAATGCACTGTGGGCCTGGGCAAGTATTACAGCTTATAAGACACCTGCCCACCTGCCCACCTGCCCTACTGACCCAATACTCTCTAGATCTAATGCTATATCTCCAAGAATCTTAGCATGTGCTCCCCTCAGAACTATGACTTATGGAGACTAAAGCTAAAAGAACTTGGGGTGGAAAGGGGTGAAGGCTTCTTAAAAAAAAAAATCAACATCACAAATACATAAGGGGGCCACGCCAGAGAGGGGCTGCGAAGCGAGTCTCATCACCTCCTCTGCAGATTCCCTCACACACATGCAACAATTTTGCCTCTGCAAGCCTCTCACACTGGTCTCGGGAGACTACGGTCTTTATTTTACACAGAAAAGCAAACCTGATGAAAAAAAAAAAGCCTGTAGAAACTGTTCTGAAAGTAAAAGATAAAGCTATTCTACAGCACACAGTGCTTTTTCATTTTCTTTTAAATGAAGAGGTTACACACTGGGCTTCAGTATAATGCTATAATACAGCACGGAGTATGGTGTCAGGTAGAACTTTCTGGATCTGGAATGAGAGTGAGTTATGGGAAATAAAACAGGTGGTAAAAGTCTGTTACACACGTTTATAGTCCTAAAGATTCCATTTCCCCATGCACTTTCCCACTCTAATCAAAGTAATGGGCTACACGGGTCTCAGACCCACCAATGAGCTTCTAACAGCTCACTTCTAGCGCATGAAAGCTGGCAGACATGGGGCTTAGGTTACAGAACTCTCACCAATACTGACCTTACAAGATGCCACAGATACTAAAGAAATAGGCAAGACAATCCAGCCAAGTCCAGATGACTGCATTTCCCATCACAGCAATTTTCTGCCTCACAGATCTTTTTCTGTTTTCTCTGAAAACCATTCCATCCACTTCTCTTTGACAAGGTTCAGCACCTTACCCACTCTTGCTAGATGAGTAAGCTTTTCCTCATGCACTGGTTGTCAAACTTCTGGGCTCAATACCCTTTCATATTCTTAAACGTTATCAAACTCCAAAAAGCCTTTGTACATGGGTTATGTCTATATTTACCATCTGACAAAATGTCAAAGTATTTATTTAGATACAATAATAATCTCATTAGAAGTGTTAACTCACTTCCAAACTAAAGAAGAGCAGTGTTGTGTTACAGTTATTCAAATCTCTTTAGTGTCCAGATTGACATTAGAGAGGTTTTCACATTTGCTTCTGTATTCAGTCTGTCACCATATCAGTCAAACACGGCACATGACTGAAGTATATGAAAATTCAGCTTTACACAGACATGTTGTTGGAAAATGGAAGAGTACTTAAAAAGTCCTTTTAGATCACTATGGGTATTCTTCTTTGATACTAAAGCTTCACAAGTAGAGTTTTTAAAGGTCAGTTTCCATGTGGACTCTAATAACTTAGCACACTCTGACATTAAAACCCATTTTTCTGTTTTCACTTTCAGTGGTTTTGACCAATGCAAGATTTTGTGACATCATATGTTGACAAATACTAGTTCACTGAACTATACAGCTTTTTTAAATGTTGTACATTTCATTGTATATAACAAATTCAATAACATTACTAGCAGTCGTATCAAACAAGTTTAAACACTGTGAATCTATCAAACTCACAGTGGTAGACAAATTTTCCAAACTTCTAATTTTCATTTGAAAAGTTAAATTTTATCAAACAACTGCCCAAGTACTCCTCAAGTCAACTTTAAGTGTTTAATGTATGTCTCCCATTTTTGTCACACAGAACATCAAAAAGATATTCTTAGGTAAAACTGAACTTTTTTTTCCCATTGCACTTGTGTGAGAAATAAGACTACTAGTACAAGATAGTGCCTACATCTTGATTTGTGCTAAGGCAACAGCAGTTTCACCTATTATAGTTTCTGAATTATCAGTGTAAATACCAAGTCAGTGAAAAATACAAGTTACATCACAATAGCCAAAAGTTAGAAGCAACTTCAATTCCATCCTCAAGGAATTCCAATTTCAAGCAAATTAAAATGTGTCCATTGACAAATGAATGGATAAGCAGAATGCAGTGTATACATCGATAGAATACTATACAGCCTTGACAAAGGAAATTAGGCCCTCCCTGTGGCTCAACAGGTGGAAACGCAGCACTCCAAAGCTACGGGCAGCTGCTCCTAGCGGCAGCTGCTTCAAACAAGTTCAATTCCTGGCCAAGGAGGTGACCCACATAGTGTGACAGATCTCTCCTGTCTCACCCACTGCTGCTCTCGGCAGTATACGACATCAATATGTCTGTTGTGCTCCCATTCTGATTCTGGTGAATCCTCTTATGGCCCTTCCACCTCTAGCCTGTACCCCACTTCATATTCATAAATAAGTAAATCTTTTTTTAAAAAAGGAAATCAGATACTTGCTACAAAATGAATAAAACTTGAGGACATTATTTGAGGAAATAAGCCAGTCACAAAAACACAAATACTGAATGATTCCACTTATCTGAGGTATATAAAATAGTCAAATTCACAGAAATAGGAAATAGGGTAGTAGTTCACACTACAAGCTAGGGACAAGGTAAAAAGGAGAATTGCCTAATGATGTAGAGTTTCAGATATACAAGATGAACAAGTTCTAGAGATTGATTACATACATAAAAATAGTTAAGATGGGAAATTTTACATTATGTATTTTTAACACAATAAAAAGAAAGAGGCACACAACATCTCAGTATTATTATGAAAATAGTTTTGCCCTCACAGAATGCCTGAAAAGCCTCAGGGACTGGACTCCCAAGGGTCAGCAAACACTTTGTGAACCAATGTTCTAGCAACCTCCTTTTTCTTCTAACATCCACCATTGCCTCTACCTATTCCTTTTCCTTTGCCTTCTTTGATATGGCTTCCAGCTCTTAAACGCCCTATTCGACCAAACAGACTCTTATGATATTCACAATGAATAAGAAGCCTTAAAAGGCCTCTTCCTTCTGCTCTAAAATGTACTATCATTATTCTTTTACACAGTTTGCTTTAATTCAGTATGAGTCTCTAAGGTTTCTTTCATATATGCTTCTTTTAGATTATCCTTTCAGACTATCAGTTTCCCAAGGCTTTCCAAAGCATCCTGTCAACATAAACAACTTTCCAGCTCAACTTTGCTTTCTCTTCTCTTAGAAGTCTCCATATGTGCATTAGCAGAAAAAAAGTCACCTGACATTAGAACACAAGAGAGAAAGCCAGGACCAGATGCCATTTATGTTATACGTCCCACTGGAGTCTGAACCGTCACAACAGGCAGCAGCAAGTGTCCATTTTCCACATCTTGCACACAAGTCAGTAACTGAGGAACAGTTGTCCCCTCTGTGCTAAGTCAACCCCTATAGAGGAATAAAAGTCCAAGGAAAAATACCCAAAAGCTTTGGGATCCCTCACATCCACCTTCCTAGGAGAGATGTTCACCAGCACACATATTTAACCCCCAGTCCACCCCAACCCCCACATA